GTGCTAAACAGTTGTGATATCTCCCCTTCTGCCCTGGGCTATTCACATTTCCTATATCCTCCTATCACGCTTTCACTTTTTCCATTTTTACCATGCCTATTTCGATGTAGTGTGGTGTGCTCATCTGAGCGGCTTTCATGAAAACAATTCACACTCCACCCTGTCGTTCTCTCCCCCTTCACCCTTGTGCTGGGAATGTTGATCAGAGTCTGCAATATTGTTACGCAGTCCTCCTTCTTAGGTCTTATCGCAGGCCCTCTCTTGCCCCGTCAGATTCGTCTACTCTCTCCCTGATTCACATATTTCACTCGACCCCTGCCACCCCATCTTTGTTGCTCGAGGCGTTATTCGCCCTCCCCCTGCGTTTGGGTGATTAATTCGAGGCTAAAACCTCTGAGTAAGTCTCGTGGTCCCACCTTTTCTACATGAACCACGTTTATCGTAAAAACACACCTACTGTCAGCCAACTAGCTCCAGTCTCCGCCGCCTATATCCTTTTCCTATCCATAATACCAAGTATATGGCTTCCCATGCCCTAGTTTCTTGTGTGTCAGCCCACAAATGTTGTGGTACAGCTTGTTTTGATTTGGTTCAATGTTGAACCACAACATTTGTGGGTTGGTCAAGGCGAAAACAGCATAGTTGAAATGTGTCCTATGAACCCTTGAAATTGTAAAATATCGCTTGGATGTAAAGGATATTACAGAACAGAGCTCAAGTTCGGCTCATGCATTTGGAGGCAAGCATGGTATGGCTTGAGCGCATTGTTTCAGCCTAAGGACTCAGCTTTTCAGCATATCGAGAAGAGAAACGTTAATGGCAATGGAAACAATTTAAGGCTCATGGGTGAATTTCCTTTTGGTGAACTTTTAGCTCGGAAATCCGGCATTTCCTCGTAACTAAATTTTCATACAAACAAGTGATAGCGCTTAGGTCTCACACGATAAACTCGAGGTTTCGAATGACATATTGTATTGAAAGAATATCAGAGGTATACAAATAACCTTGTGAATACCTTGGATACTTCAACCGTCATTTTGGGTCTGGTAG